CCTCCTGCCGCGGGTCCCGCGTCATCAGCGCCTGCAGCTTCTGCGCCTCCTTCGCCCGGATCTTGGGGAGCGGGGAAGAGATGGGGTGAGACACGGGCACGTCCCACCGGCATCGGCGTTTAGCGCCAGGACGGAATTACTCACCCTCTCGAGCAGGGCCTGGGACACCCCTTTGAGAGCGCTGGAGGTGCTGGCAGGGGACGGTGCTTTGGAAACCACCGGTTCCCCCGCACCGGCTTCAGCGGTTCTTAAGGCCAGGTTGGCAAGAGCTTTTTCCATCTGCTCATGGGGAAGGAGGAGGAGGAGGAGGAGTTGGGTTACAGCTGGGAGCCGCTCACGCTGGAGGAAGAAGTTTCCCCTCCGCCACCCCCCGCTGCAACCCAGTGCTCCCCCACCCCAGCGCGTCTGACCCATCCCTGCCTGCGCAGAGGACAGTGCGGGGCGCTTCAGCTCCTCTCCCAGCCCCAAGGGCAGCACTGATGGCTCCTCTAGCCTGAAACCAGTCCTACACCACGACCTGCAGCGGGACAGCCAGGCTTGTGCTCCCACCCGCCTAGATCGTAGTCCTCCGGCTCCTCTGGCTCTGAAACCATCCTTCCCAACCCCTATCCGGTAACTTCTTCCCGCAGAGACGGCTGGTTTGGGGTCTGCCAGCTACAGACCCCGGTCCTGACTCACCTTGGGCGTCAGCATCCCCCGAGCTGTGCTCAGCACCTCCTGGGCCGTGGTGAGCCTGTCCTCCTGAGGCGGCTGCGGCAGCTCCGCCGGGCTGATGTCCGGCACCTCGTCCACATTGAAGCGGGGATGCCAACGGGTCAGCTTCTCCTCCGGCACCACCATGGGAGGGCTGAGAGCGGCCAGGAAGGCCTGGAGAAGGACAAGAGCTGCATCACGGCCAGGTACAGGGGGAGCCGGCCATTGCCCCACGCTCCCACCACGGCTTGGCAACACACGACAGCCGGCTCGGAGGGAATTCAGAGCCAGGAGAGATTCCAGCTACCGCCCTCCCCACCCACACCTGCCTGCCAAGAGCACCCCGCAGGAACCAGCGACGTCCTTCAGCCTGGATACCACCCCGCTCCTTGCACCCACTTCTCTAGTGAGCGGACCCCAAAAAACAGTGGGTGCTGGGGGGTGTCCCTCACCTTGTGGTGCTGCTTGACGATGTTCACCAGGTTGCGGCTGAACTCCTTCCTGCGCTCCAGCAAGCGCGACGCCGACAGGTGCGGGCGGCCGTTCACTTTCTCCTCTGCGAGGGGGGACACGAGCACCGCGATGGGGCCCCAACTGCCAGAATCGCTGCCCTGTCATCCTCCCCCTTTGTTCCCAAAAGTGGTTTTCCACTTCCAACGTCCTCAGGCCCTTACAGGCAGGGAGCATCCCTGGGGATTCAGGGATCCCAGCCAGGACAAAGCGCGCCCCAGCTCTCGGGGGTGTAACCCCCTCAAAAAAACGTACGTACCTTCCCCCAACACTGGTTCCAGCGTGAGCTGGTAGTCAGACTTCTTCACGCCGTGGCTGAAAGTGGGGATGTTCTTCTCCTGGCGCAGCCGGTACGCGGTGGGGTACACCGCCTTGATCTGCCCCACGTGCCGCTCCTCGAACTGCCTGCAACAGCACCCGGGGAGGTCGGGAACCCCG